CTTGATTGTTTTGATTAATTATTCGTCATACATTCAAGCTTCATCAAAATAACAAGTCATTAATTAATCATTTTCTAATTTCCTTTTTTATGCAAGATTTCCTATTTCTTTTTTTCAAAAAAAAAAATAAAGGAAGGAAGTTATTTGATCAGGCAATAAAGATTTTGGATACTCCTCCTTTACTTATTTGTTATTAATGACCTTTATTACTACGTTACCCAATATTTTGTTTATCATCTCGGTTAATAATATTAAGCTTCATAGCATAATTCTTTTGTCCAATAATTTTGATTCACGAGTAATTGAATTAGATCACGGATACCAAAAAGTCATTTGATGCGTTATGCTTACATCTAATCGAAACAATTATAAGTCATATTCAATATCAGAAATATTGAATTTACAAATACTATACAACCCTGATGCGGAAGGTAAATGCAGAAAGTATTAAATATTCAATTTTGTGAAACATTTATTTATCTTTCTTTAAGAATGAAACAAAGAGTTTGATATGTAAAATTTTTAATCAAAAAGTGTCAATTTGTCCTATAATAGATTACAAATTAATTGTTAAACCCGAAAAAGATGATTTCAGACAATATTTACTTCCTTATACAACATACAAATAATGTATTCAGCATATTCAGCATCGCTTCTTGTATAGGCTCTATTATGTTGAAATATTTGATATTCAGTATCCTGTTTTGGATACAATGATAATTTACCTATAAGAAATTTGATCACATGTGAACATTGTGATTGGTTAATTCTCATCTAAAACATTTTTAAGGTTTTTAATATCCAAATTAGGCTTTCATTAAAAAATTTTAATCCTTTTTTTTTTTGATTGCAAGTTTTATGTTCGGCCGTTTAGTGGGTTACAACGTGATATCACGGCCGTCCTTTAGATAATTATGGTTTTTATTACATGACTTCAAGTATATAAAGAAGTGCCATTTTTTCTTCTCGACAGATTAATTCCAACATTTCCAACATTAAAAAAAAAGAAACCCTTTTATTAAAGAAAATTTCATCATTTTTATATTTCAAAATGTCTGACATAAATGTTTTTCACATGTTTCATTTACTTGAACCCGAAGAGCTCTCTTTATTTTGCAATCCTATCTATCCATTATATTTGACCGCAGATCAAATATTAGATCCTCTCCTAAGAATGTATGTTTCATGCGATACAGCCCCTCACCCTCATAACGGATATACATTGTATCAAAGGGACTTTTCGGCAAGAAAGAATACACCATTCGAAGTTAATATTAGTTGGACAAATCAATCCGATGAAGTTAAAAGTTTATTTAAAGAAATCGCTCGCGTTTATAAAAGAATACACAAATTCTTTTTCAATAATCATGAAAGTTCGAATGTTGAACCAAAAAGTTATAGACCGATATTACCCAAACCCACACCACCGATGGATTTGGTTGAATTTCAAGACCCGACTCATTTCGAATACGTAGACCCGGCTAATTTCGAATACGTAGGCCCAACTAATTTCGAATACGTATACCCGACTCAGTTTGTATCCGGGTACGTGGGTCAGATTAATTTTGATCCCGGATACCTGGACCCGACGCAATTTTATGTTGACATGGAACATTTGGATTTGGAAAATTCAGATGTCAACAATTGCTAGGATATATAATAAATTAAATCTTGTAATAATTTAGCTTACAAATATTACAATATTACTTTATATTTCTGTGTCTTTTCTCTTTATAAATTATATATACCTTATGATAATTAAAAATGTGATATCATATATATATATTTTTTTTACATTTATGTTTTTAATTAAATATTCCCAAAATCCAAAGGATTTTTCTCACTTTATCTAATGGTTACAAAAAAAATTCCATAGGTAACTAACTATTCTGATTATTATTCAATTCATACATGCTATTACTTAAAATGATGATAAAATTACTTTTCATGTAAATTATTATTTTTCATGCACCAAATTCCATATTTTAAATTAATAAATCAAACCTTTTTTTTCATTTTTTTGTTGTAAATGAAACAAACGTACATGCATTGCATAATTCTGATTTCTATTTCTTTATATCCTAAAATTGAACTGTTTCAAAATCTCTTTGTATTTAAATAATGAAAATATCTACAAATAACCCTAAAACCCTGATGTTACACAAGATTGTGAAAAAGAAATTTACCGTAAACGGTTGAAATAAAGTATCCCCCTATTGTATAATACCCTCTTCATAAATCTGATGTAAAAGACCCAGTATTATACATAAGGATATTATTATACATTAATTGTTTTTTATATAAATCGTAAAAAAATATAAAAATTTATAAGTTAATTTGATTTCAAATATTACCTTATATGATATAGCGTAGTACCCCTGTAGTATAGTACCCCCTCCGACTTGTAAAATACCCGGTAAATCTTTGAACATCACAACATTACACGCCATATTAATGACTATATAATCAATTTTGCGCAAATCTATACTAACTACGTCACAATCTTTTTATCAGCGGTTGGTAACGCAACATTTATTTGTCACCAATGTCACACCCTCCTCCCTGCTTTCATTTTTTATAAGTATTTTAGCGACATTTTTTTTGAGTTTAGGAAAAACCTATTCGTTACATACCCCTATATATCACATGTGTGACGTTATTATATAAATCCAATACAAATTCATTCAAGTGAAAGTTCGATTGTTGAAGCTAATTATTTTTATACATATAACTATTCTTAGACACTATCCCTTAAATGGTAATTTCAAATTTAGTCATGATTTTCAATCAATTATTATGCAATTACTAGTATACAATGGTTAAGACTGTAATTTTGCCCTAAAAAACCAACACAGCTTAATAGCTTGCAATTCGCTGTTTATTTACCCTTGAAATTTATAAATGTGACAATTACAAGCTCATCATCTGGATACACATTATGCATCAGCATTATTTTACTATGAGAAAAATTTGCCATTAAGTTTTGTGAAATTACAAATCTTATTTTTTAGATAATAAGCATTAATATAAAGTTAGTGAACCAAGATTTCCTGTTGCTGCAATTGATAAGGAAAAAAGGTGGTAGTTAGTAAAAATATTACATTTGCTATAATTTTACTAAAACAGGAATTATACCAAGTGTTGCAATGATTTGTGACATATCTGAATCAATTAAGAGTCAATTTATTAACTCAACTTAATTAATAACTCGATTTAAGTCAAATGAGTCAGAAAATTTTTGACTTGACTCAACTCAAACTTGACTCGACTCATTTGATTCATGAATCAACTCGACTCATTTGGAACTCTAATTTTAAAAATAGCATTTGCTAGCTTTTTTTTTTTTTTAGTTATAATTTAGGTCTTTTATTAATTAATAATTTAATTATCAGATTTTAAAATTCAAATAACTTTTAGTTAAAAGTATTCAGCAATTTTTTTACAGATTTTTTTTAGTAATATTAAGTCTTTTTTTATATGCAAAAATAATGTCTTTTTATTTAGAAGTAATTTTTTTTCCAAAAATAATAATTTTTAAAAAAATATAAAAAAGAAAAAAATTTAAAAAGTTAAATTAAAAATAAACAAAAAAATCAATGTTTTTTTAATCAAAATAAAGTTATTTCTAATTAGAGACTACTATCCTTTAGATTGTCTAGCAGGCAAATTTGCTTGCGAAATTTAAAAAAATTGTTAATTTCTTTATAAAATATTAAATATTAATTTTATTAATATTATTACTATATAAAAAATATAATTTAATATATATT